ACTACCGAAACCTTACAACTTAATAGTGTTTGTTTGAAATTACTTATCTATCTATATATTAATAGGCAAGCATGTTTCTTTAAAACCTTTTTTCTCAGCTCGTGTGCATCGTAGGGAAAATCTACGCATACCGTTGGAAAGCTATTTTCCTGTAGGTGTGCAGAATCCCTTTATAAATTTAAATAGGCTCAAAGATAAGCACAAAAAATAAGTTTAAAAGTTGTAAAAAATTAACATGGATCTTATGCGTTGCTATGCTGGTTACGAAATAACAACGAAATATAAACAGAAAATCAAAACAAATGGAGGAAACTCCAATCACATGTTTTATTTACAGTGTGGGGTGAAAATAGTTAAGTGAGTACATTACATATTTTTGGTCGAGTTTCGACCACTGGACGACCTCTCGTGTATTATTAAAACCCATACACATCGTTAAACATTATTGGTATTGTTGCATATTTATTCGAAATTGTAAAATCTTGGACAGGCAGAATCCTAACATATAGTAAGACCTACTTATGGTAAAATAGGTACCATGTTGAGCCTGAACCATCTAAGTAAAAAATATATAACTTTGTTTTACTTTTGATTTTGAAACACCTGAATTTTCATAGTTCCTCTTCAAAACAATAAAACACCAATGAAATAAAATACATGTGAACGATTGATATCAACGCACTCAATAACAAATTTCTCCAGAGATTCATGTGCTCATCTAATATTTCTATAGTTCTATTTAATCACAGAGATATAAGAGATAAAACGGATTGAAGAGCGCAAAAAATACAAGTTTCATGTGTAAAGCTTTACAGTTTTTACCACCCGACCGTCGAGGAGCCTGAAGTATTTCTGGGAAGATCTGAGCCATCTGGGCGGCATTGCGTTACTTTGGGCAAAAACAGTTGAAGGTTCCCATCTCTACATACGACACCCACTTCCGTCTTCAGGCATGAGGATCTGAGTAGGGGATTAAGGATGGAAATTTATTAATTAAATCAAATGAATTTGTTTGATTAATTCCGGTGATTATAACTAACTCTCTTACTATTACACCATGAGAAAAAGGTGTCGTTCATTTGTTTGTAAAGATTTATCTGCCGTTAATTTCAAAGAAAGTTTATTGTTTTATACAGCACAATATAAGTTATACTTGAGTTACTTTTACAACTATTATTATTTGCATCCTTTAACAAAACCACTAAGTTTTGCCAACTTATTTAACTCGGCTGTTACGTGACTGCTATTCTGTTTGTTTTTTGTTGTTGTTTTTGCAAGGTTGGCAAGGTTTTAGTAGTGCGCCAAAATAAAACGATAGCAACGGAGAAATAAATGGATTAGCGTGTTGCGATCAGTAAAAAAATGCATTTTTGTTACCTGACTGTAGAAAAAAGTACGTATTATCTTACGATGAAAAAAATGTTAATAAAGTGGATAGTAACATTCGGCTTAATCGTACATTGCAACCTCGAATGGTATCAACGTGCTATTTAAAATATGTTATTATATATTTCAGGTCTACAAATGAACTTAAAACAATACTTGTAAAAATCTCGATGAATAGATCTAAGGGTTGTAGCACTGAAGTCATACTCAAAATTTGGTCGGATATAATTTCATGAAATCCGCAATCTTATTCCAAACTTATACCAAACTATAATCGATCATTGATAAATTATTGACGATTAATGCTTAATGTTAAGTGTTATTAGAATATAAAAGTTTTACTAACTGTCAAATCTATTTCACAAAGCTCCTGCGTTCAACTTCCTAAAATAAAACACTCGTCTCATTTGAATGAATTACTGTACCACGAATAAACTTACATTATGTATTATGTACTCGGTTTATTATTAGGAATAACGACTGCAGTTATAGTAATACAATTGGATTTCCCAAAGCTCAAGCTACAACTACCTATTCTGTAATTCCATCTTAGAACCTGAATAAATAGTCAATTAAAAACCTCCAACCTCTCGACATAACCATTTCCACATAAAACTTAATTCTCCTTATCGTGGACAACAAATTTATTTACAAGAGTCCAGGAGGTAATCGTAAATAATTGATGATTTCATGTTCCTAGTCCATTTGATCACCACGGGTAGCAATAATAGATGAGGAAAGGGCTGAATAATTTTGAGGAAGGGATATCCCAGGGTCTGCACGCCAGGTGGGCGACCGCAGCCTTACCACTGTCACTGATACCTGCATGGGGACCTCCACAGTCCACAGTCTAGAGGTCTAGTGCGCCACACAGCGGGAGCCGGGGTCTTATTTGTTTTTTGTCTAACACAATTAGCATTTCTTGTATATTTTGTAGTAGAATGTCTAAACGTAGACATGATTATTGTTAAGGACTATACCCAATGTTGTGTCTTAGTGATATTCACATAATGTATGTCATTGTAACATTCAATTACTAGTGTCCGAAACGAAGTGTGTTCTGATAGTTATTTGTCTATAAAAATCCAAAAAAATAAGATAAGATACTACAAATCAGGCCTCTTGCAAAGCTAGTCTCTTAAAATTCTTTGAGCTGTACATGATTTCAATAGAGTATAATAATCTGGGTAAAAAAGAAGAAAGAGTTTCTATATTTAACTATCACACTTAAACCAAGCACACCATAATTAATCGAAGTTAAAAAATAAACAGTTTGAACATAGATTCAAGAGTTATAGTGTATCTTTTTGGTAAACTTTAAGTCAAAGCAGCAAATGTATAGCAAATCAATTAATATAAGAGGTTGCCTCTTGTGGTGGTCTAGTTTAGAGATGATCGAGACTCCAAGTAGTTTAAACTTAACTCTTAGTTTGTGTTTTGCTCGGTTCTTATCAGTAATTAATGCTAACCACTTAAAAACTTATATTTTAAAAACTGCTTTGAACTAAACTAATGCTAATTGAATTTACATCTTGTAATATTAAGCAAAGGTTGTGTTATTGCAGTGATGGTATGTTGTTAACAAAATTATCAAAACCTCTCTAAATTTAAATTAATATTTTCTGAAAAGGGTACGCTGTATAACATTGTGGGTATCATCATATTATATTCCCTCGTGGAATTATAAATCCACATTTTATAAAGGTTTTGTTAATTGGTTAATGGCTAGCTGAAATGCAAGTAAGTTTAACATAGCCAAATTTGCTCTTATTAAAATCTGCTTAACCATAGGTAAAACATACTCATAATGAAACGCAACCAATGAAATACTACTTTCTGAGACATTCAGTAGGAGCAATAGAAGGATTTCAGTAAATATAAAAAGGATTATCTTAAGACCCATCGTGTTAATTTGTTGTAAATTTAAACATACATTTGTATTGGCTTCTGAAGTTCAAAATATAATAAAAAAAACTTTATTGATGACGGTATTGCAATAGTTATCTGGAAAATGTGGTTTTCAATAACATTGTTTGATAACTCGTGTAAATGGTGTTTAAAAAAATCAATAATCTTCGTGTATGTCACATGAGATATTTCTTACTTCATGCCATTCTAAATTAAAAAAACTTGTCAAAAACATGTAGCCTACTAAACACTTTGGAAATATAGTGCACGATACGAAATAAAGGTAATGTAGTTCCTTCCGAATTTAACGAACCCCTTGTTCACTCTACCAATTATTCTCTCTGTTTTCTGTTTTTACAAACCTTTGTCTTGCATTTTCTATCCTCTAACGAAGGGTAACAAAGCACAACAGTGACGAATACAGGAAGACTTTGTTGTAAACTTTAAATTGGAAACTGTGGTGCTCCCGAGATGGTTAATTAACTAACAATCGCAGCCGCGCCAACCGAAACTGAAACCAAACATAGTTGTAGATCCTGTGAGTCAGTTCAGGAAGTTTGGAATTGTATTGCCTAATTTGAGCCTCAGTCATTGAGGGATTTCAGCTCCTATGTACTGTATTTGGGACTTTTCGCTGTACTTATCGTAAAAAACATACACCTTGAATGATATTACCCGTTTGAATTCGCCGCTTGAATGATGATATAATTTGAACGCCCACCAGGTTTATAATGTGCGTGCATTTCTCGATGTGGACCAATAAACGGTTATAGAAATGTATACACTTTATAACTGTAGCACACTGTTTATTAGCGTTTCAACTAATAGATCTTTGTACCAGGTTGACGATTAATGTAGAATATTCTTAATATATTTATATAAATATATTATTTTATAAAATGGCTCTGTAAGGTAGTGTAACACGAGGAACATAAATTACACCAAAAATTACATTATTCAAAGATTGTGAACACTTCTTTATGCATGGTGGTTGAAAACATGTTATATGAGTTTAGCGTTCTCATCTTTCATGAGAGGACTAGCTCCATAAGTTAATAATAACATCCTCGTTGCAAATGTGTAAACCTTGCAAAGTAAGGAAGTTTTCAGTTCATTTATTAAATCTTAATTTAAACATCTTTAAGATGAAATGGAGTCTCACTCAGTATCAAGCATGATGAAAGCAACATTTTAAAGATTATTAGGTTTTTTTTCTTTTCTGCTATGCAGAACCGAGAAAATTGATGTTTAAGTACAATTAGAAGCTAAATAATAATCATGTAAGTTGTGACGAATTGACAAAATTCTCAGACAGCAAAAAATAAATATTTAATGTTTAATTTTCTTATTTATTAGGTCTTAAAACTTATTTAATTTATTTCTTAATACCACGGTCAAAAAAATATCCATGCATGTTGTTAGTTGACATATTTTTTTTTATTTCAGCATAATTCAGTAAAATTAAGAAAGTAATAAAGCAATGTTACAATCCTGAGAAACCAATCCACCAAAAATACAACATAATACACACTCGGCGATGTATCAGTTCAAATAGGACACTATTACCTTACTCACAATAATGCCACAGCTGATTAAAAGCCTGATGATAAACAGCTGATTGGTCGTTTGACACATTGTTGCCTCCCCTCCCCCACTTTGCCACATCTCCCCTCCAGTAGTGGCCGGTCTTGACTCAGTTGCCAGTGCGAGCGCGACATGAGCGGGTGAAAACGTACGTGATGACGAGGGTTTTTGCTCTTCGCACGTTTTTGTGGATATTTGTGTGTGTGGATTCTATGAGTGGGCAAGGTTTGTAGAGTTTGTGTTTATGTTTTAACATAATAGAGTACGTCAAATTGATTTTTTTTTTAAAGATTGTGTCTAATTTGTATTTTAATTAAGTTTTTTTATAAATTTAAATAAAACGTATGTCCAGAGTATCAAACATAAGAAAAGTTACAGCATATTTTGTATCATACATAATTTGTTGATCTAAACTGCCTTTAGATCTTCTAGGTTCTGTTTTACATATCTTTGTGTAGTTTGGATGATATCGTGACGATATCGAGTGGAAACACATATTTATATTATGTATTAAATGTTAAATGATTTTGACAATTCAGATCTAAACAATATGCTAAGCTACTTTACAAAAATTTTACTTTTTATGCTATGTCGCATTCATTTATAATATTTATTCCATAATCTTTGGGTGATTATTATTATTATATTTGGGACTTATGAGTTCTTTGGAACTTATTTAAAATGCTATAGTATCTATTTGACAAGTGGATCTATTAGGTAGTTTTCAGTTATTTTTTTATTAAAAGCCTTAAATTAGGTTTTGAAGAATTATTATTATTGTAAGTTACAAGGAATATTTTGCATCTAACTGTAGGTTTGATTAATTTTTTGTTTAAAGTTCTGATATTTCTCCAATCGGTATTATAAATAATTATAATAACCAGAAAGGTAAATAATATCGAGATTTCGATATAACACAAGCTATTCAAGAATCAAGAATCAATATTTTATTCCATTAGACATGTACATGCATTAGGATACGTCAATAAAGTTGAATACATGCTGCAAAAACACAAGTCAAAGATAAATTACAGTACATAACAAATAAGGCATAAACAAAAAAATCAAATAGATACAAAGGTCATTTAGATGGCACAGTGAAGACTACGGAATACTTACAGAAAAAATAGATAACAAGATACAATTTAGTGAAAAAAAAGAAATACTTAGAAAGGCAGTGACTAGATTATGATTTCTTTGGTTGAACATTCGAAAAATTCTCCCAGCCCATAAAAAGGGTGTACAGTCAGCCACAGAAGAATTTTATTTTTGAAGACTTTGTTGTTCAATAACAGTATTTCCTTGGGGAGTTTATTTAGGCATTTGAGTCCCAGTACTTCATAATAAGATTTAATTTTTTCAAGTCTAACATAAGGGATGTCAATTTTACCCCCATTCCTAGTATTATATTTGTGTACATCACCCCTAAGAGAATGGGATTTCAGGTTCTTAAAACTAGTCAACAAAATGTTATATTATCAGCTATATTATGTAAGCTTAGCTAAGCAATATGTCTAACAGTACCAATTGGTTGCTTTTTTATAAAAAAAAAAAACTTGGACACCTATAACTTTCTTATTTATTGTTCTTATATTCTTGTCTTCCAAATTTTTTTATATTATTCTTTAACTTGGAGTTGATGTCTATACTAGTTAGTATAGAGCATCAACTTTATATGAAATTGTCTAACGTATGATGAAAATCTTGAAACATTTATTTTGATATGTTAGCATTTTAAAGACATTCCAGGTATTTTTTATCTGGTTTTGGTAATATGTAGAGAGTAGAGCAATCTATTAAGCACGTAGTAAGCCTACCACGGAATGGGGTTGTACCAGGTAAATAAAATTGATTTAAGTTTTAGCAGTTTTTTGAAAACAGTGATCGGGAAATAAAAATATCTCCCACGTATCCTTATTTTTGTAAGAAACCCGAAATAATGCTGTAGATTTATGAATGCATAGGGGAGATATGAATGTATTCTTTCATTAGATTATTTACGATTAATTAATTATTGTAGATTTCTTTCTAAAAGCCATAGTTTTTTGTATTTGTTTTATTTTTTGTGCTACGATTTGTATTACGGTCAACAGTCTATCGAATATTATCTTAAGGAATATAACTCATAACTTCCACTCACAAAATTTGCTCAACATTGCAATTTTTTATATAATACTATTTTATAACACATAGGTGTTACAGTTTTCAATATTAAAAACAAGAGGGACAAATACAATCAAATTTTAGGTATTGAAGTAAAAAGCTAATGAAGCTTACATGTATACAATGCGATTTTAGTGTTTAATTACTTGTGTTACGACAACCGTTTACTGTACACTCATCATCAGGGAAATGAAATGTTGGTACACATTTTTTTTCTGATTGGCATAGCTGTATTAGGTATTAACGGTAATGCTAATAATTCAGTGAATTTAAATCAAAATTTGGTTCAATGGGGAAAAAAATATGTTGTTGTTGAAACATTTAAAAACATATTTTTGTACTCCGATATTTGAAATATCGGTCACTATTCATCTACCTTTGCCACACAATCAAACGTTAAATTTAATGATGACATAAATTGTGGTTTGATCCAAGCCTCAAACGAATTCGTTAAAATAATAGGAATTGCATGTGAATTAGTTGAATCAATGTATTTTTTTATAGTATGATCTTTGTATGCCAGGCTTTACATTTCTGTCGTATATTTTACTTCTAAAGTTATTTTTGTTGAAAACTATAATGTATGGTAAATAAAAAATTGGCTAGGCTATAAATATTTTAAGGAAATGTCCAAAGTAAACACACAATGTATGGTAAATTTTCTTATGTTTTTTGTTTATTATTTTCTTTATAAATAAAATACGGCTTGAATCTTAAAATAGTTAACCTTAATATATACTTGATATTGAAGGCACTTTCAAAGTTATATTTTAAGGCGGACAAGATTATATTAGACGTAAATGTAATTCAATTTGTGGATGATATCAACAATTTTTTGAACTACGATACCCTTTTAACCTCATTAAGCTTTCATAAAGACGGAATAGTAAATCAAAGGGTTTCAAACTTACTGGACTACGTTTTTATTATTTGCTTGTATAAGTACTGTAATATTTATTTTTACTTGAAGAGTACTAGTAAATAACATACGTTACTCGAGCTGCAAACCTTTAAAATATCCATTCCTGGAAAGCTATTTCTTGAAACCATGAATAATAGTTTATTTCGTGAATAATGTTATGTCCTATATGTATTTGAATCTGAGCTCCATTAAAACAACAAAACCTCTCAAAAATAAAGAGGAGATTCACGTAGTCAAATTACTGTACAATTTACTGCCACGCGTCGTCAACAGCCCCATCGGAGACTATGTAGTAAGAAACGATTTTCTTACATACTGCTCTAATGGTTCTTTTATACAATCCAAACAACTTAGTTCATCTCCAGGAATAATTTTCAACAGCTTCTGAGGCAATACGACAAAAAGTTTAGCTTTAAATAAATTACCATAATTAGCTGTTATCTATGGAAAACGAGCCTATTTTCACATTACGTTTATCTTTTTATTTTTCATTTGCTGAACTAAAAGTCTGGAAGCCTCAATTAGATTACCTATTAAAATTTCGCCCATAGATAAAAATAGTGCACTAAAATCAGATAATTCTTCTTGGTCTTGCACAATAGATAAGCTCAAGCATAATTTGGTAAATGTAGACAACATGCCAACAATTTATTATTTACAGAATGTTAACAATGTTTAAAATATTCTAAAAATACATGTATCATTAAATAAAAATTAACAATTTATATATTTAAATAATCTTTTATGTGGGAATAATCCTTTAAATAATCCTTTGTCTTCCCCATCACAGCTATAATTTTCCTCTGTAAACTTTATGGAGAATAGACTTAGATTGTTCATCCCAAAATCAAAGCTAAAATGAATAAGGTAATCAAAATCAGGGAAAAAACAAAATGTACTTTGCAATCCGTTGGAGACCTCCTTAAGTCGCTTAAGGAGCTTAGTTCTCGCGGCGCCGTTGATTCTCTACTTAAGGATCTAGGAGAAAATTACTTGTTCTATCAGCGCCGGTTTCTTTTCCCGATGAATTTAATTAAGTTTCCCACGTAGCCTGGATAGTGTTTGCAAGTTCCAGTCGATAGTTAATCAATTTAGAAGCGGAGGCGATGATGGTAAATTGAATTCACCCCCGATTTTAAATGTTCGTTTTATTGAATTTAACTCCTAATAGTTTTTATAGATCCACAAATTATTTCAAACAGAATTAGTTATTACATACTATAAACACTTTTCAGATACTGCTTACATATATACAAAAAAATTTCTCAATTTGGCCATGGATAAAACACACACACAACTACTTCACTACTTTAAAAACTTTACCATTTCAGTTCAGATACTGTAAATTGAGTGGAGTTTTTTTGTATTGTGAGTTTTTAATGGTTCATATTTCTTTTCACCTTCTCTTTTTTGTTTTGAAGACTTATAATATGGATATGTATATTTTATTAATTGAGTAACTGACATCCTTCCATCCAAAACACTGTTTGAACGGTTATTCAAAGTTAAGACAAGTCTAGCTTGATTGTAAAGTAAATTCCCCGGTGAATTTTTATTATGATACTAAAAATGTTTATTATAGTTTACGAATTCCCATTCTACATAATTGATATGGTTATTTTAATTTTATTCCATAAGTTAGTCTGTATAGTAATTAAAGACCTACTAATAGTACAAATAAAATAATAAGTACATTACAAATTTTACTGGGCTGAGTCTTGATTCAAAAGTATAAGTACTGCTCGGATTACTGTTATTAACACTCTGGTGTCGATTTAGTTGGGGAAATATCCTTGTAGCGAATTGTTTCATGAAATAAAGATAAGTTTATTAGCACATTTCATGTCTGAAGGGCACTAAACCATCTTATTTCAGCAACAGTCTTGAGTCTTAAGAACTTTTTAATTAAAAGCTTATCATTCTTTACTAGCCGAGCGCAGCTGTGCTATATTTGTAATGTTTTGCAGTAAAGTCTGCAAAACACAATCTCTAAATGTCTAGTTACATTTTCTTGACGTCTTTTAATATTTATAAGAGTTTCCGCCTCTGAGAAGATTTTAGAGTTGAATAGTTTATTTCATCCCTGTCCGTCTAAACGTTTTAATAAATTTTTAAGAAATTAGTCATGACGTTTTTTCCA